TTCATGCATTCCTTTATTAGCTGGAATGTTTATATTATCACTTGATTTATGCAATGAGTCATTCAAATAACTCCACTTGCTTGCAGTAGCCTTTTGTGAGAGATGGGCATGGAGACGGGCATCTACTTCTTTATGAACATCAAATGGTAAGACTACCTGCACAAACACAGAAAAATGGTCAATCAGGATACTTGTTATAGAGGTCAGAGAAATCACCAAATATCACAAATTTCTAGCATTAAAACTGTAAAGAAAATTGTTACCTACTGACAAACTTGTGGTGCTTGGAATTGTGCTAAAAAATTTAAGCATGGGAGTTGGAATTGAAATTGGGACATTGAGGAACTATTTGATTTAAGAAAGTGTTTTCTGTTTTCACTTGTAATTACAAAAATGTTATCTTGTTTTTAATTTGTTTCTGCTTTTCGATGTTTGGGTAAGAAACAGTGAAATCAACCTTTTATTATTTTCTATTTTCCCTTTTTTAAATGTAAATAAAATAAGAAAAACATGTTATTAGTTAGTTATTTGGTAGATGTCAGTTAGGATTGTGTAGCTGATGCATAGCTCCCTATATAAGGTAGGGATGTTGTATGTTAACAGACTGCATGTAGATTGAAACTGAATGACAATAACAGAAGTGCAGTGCACACTCTTTGTTTCTCTCATCTATCCTCACTATTCTGTTTACTTCTCTCTGTCCCTCTTTAGTGCTGTCATGATGTTTCTTTCTGTCCTTTCTGTTCTGACTATATATTCTCTATTTAGTCTTTCTGTTTCTTTCTCGATCGCCCCTAAATTGTATATACTAGAACAGAGCTGGCTGTCCATGGTTACAAGACCAGAATCTTTTCACCCATGGACAAAAACAACATTACAAGAAATGACATGTGAACTGGAAGAAAGATTTGTTCAAATTGGGCAAAGGCTTGCAAAGATTGATACACTATCGCTCATATACACGGTGGAGGGCATTTCTAATAAGCTTCAAGGGATAACGTGCAGAAGGGATGATGTCTCCATCAATTTTGGACATGACCATAGAAATGAGCACCACTATACATGCCATAAAAATCACTTTCAAGATTTGATGCATCTTTGACAGCAAGGCAGCTTGGTGGAATTTAATGATAAGTTTGATGCAATTTCTTTTAATCTCTGCTCACATAAAGCCCTTATTGTCTTTCTGTTTCTTACTCTTTTCCTAGATTCTATGTTATTTTCCTATACAAACGTCAAAAAAATAAGAAACAAAGTGAAACAATATGATATTTTTTTCTAATTAAATATTTTAAAACAAAAAACACTTCTCAAATATAACAGACCCTAGAGTCTTTTATGTGTTTGTTTGTTTAGCACTCAGACAAGGAATCCCAATTCCTCATATTCCAAGGAATTGAAAAACTATAAAGAATAGCCTTCCCAGCAGTAAAGAAAACAGCCGCAACCCCCTAAGTTCAATACCTTGAACACCATATTAGCCACCAACCTCTCTACTCTACTACTTTTGCATCAATGTTAGACGCTATCTATTTACACTGCCGCCAACTACACCAATGCCACCCCCCAAACACATTTTCCCACTCTCACTACCACAAACAACAGTCTCCTTTGCCAGCATCGCTGACAATGTATCATGACAACAACTGCAATTCTAAAACTTTAACTCCGGTTACTTTGTTGGAAAAGGCGACCTCCAAAAATGGTATCCTTAACCCAGAATTGCCGGTTACCAGGTTCATTTAGTTAATCAAGGTTATCCCAAAAATTTAAAATCAAGTAGCACCATTTACACAATAATCCAAACAAAAAAAAAAAAAACACACACCAACTCCGAAATTGCAAAGAAATTAAATACCTCTCTCTGTGGGCGTTTATCATCCAAATCAGGGCGGTAATTTGGCAAAGGCGCCTTGCTAAACACGACAACTCTTGCATATTGCCGGCTGCCAGAGTAAAATCCATTCAGAAGTGAACGAAATAAATAACCAAACAAACAACGGACGCTAAGGGGAAAATAGCTAGCTACCTATACAAACCCATCCTGGTAGCCAAAGTGGAAAGCTGCTCGAAGTCGCGACGGTCCTTCTTCTCTCTGGACACCACTTCTAGTTCGTCTTTGGAGCGCATAAGCATGGTCAGCTTCCATCTCCACTCGTCAATGTTCTCGAGCGTTGAATCACCCTAACAATAACAAACACATTAAAAAAGAACAAACGAAGCAACTGTGCTTGTGATAGGGAATGGAAAGTGACGAACCACTTGTTGGCTATGAGAGGGATGAGAAGCGAATTCCACATCGGAGTCGTCACTGGACACATCCTGGTACGCAAAACGACCATAGCTGGAGCTGCGCTGGTGCCAGAACGGCAACGTAACGGTCCCCTGGCGCACGACGGTCCTCGGGCGCGTGACGTTGACAACTTTAAGCGCGGTGGAGGAGGAGCGGAGGCGAATGGCGGTGCGGTGAAGAGGAGTGATGGAAATGGATGAAAAGTAAGGTCTGAGAGGAGTGCAGCGAAGCCGCGACATGGTTTTGAATCTGAAGAAGCCCTGAAATATGCCGGAATATGCCATAGGCATGGTGGTGGTCAAGGCTGAGGGAGAGTTTGCACTGCGCAGACACACACCTTCTGCATCCCTAAACCCAAGCTATTTATATCTTATCTTTCCTTACATAAAATCAAGTTTAGATGTAAAATAAAAGAAAATAATTTTTTTAAAAATCTTTATTTGAGTATTTCAAAATTACAGTTACCATAGTTCGTGAAAATAGATTTTTTATTCTATTTCCACGGCTAAAGTGTTCAATATATTTTTTATTAAATCAACTTATTTTATTATCTTGATAATTGATTTATTATTTAAAAATAATCAAATAAAAAATATAATTGTTCTGATTTTAAATTATCTTAGTCAATTACCATATATTTAAAGTATCATTCATTTTAAAACTTTGTTTGACATCCTTTTATTATAAAAACGATAATAATTAATGTAGTTAATCATTTAAGAAAAATCGTATTGTTAGTTCTTAACAATATGACTTGTTTTAATGAATAATCTATAAAAAAAAACAAAGAAAATAGATTACATTTAACATAAGGAGAAGTAAAGACAAAATTAAGACCTAAACTGAATGGCATTTATGCTATCAGCAAATAAAAATTGTCACCGATATAATTCAATTACATATATTGAATACATAATCTTTTTCGTTTTTAATTGAAAAATTGAATACATAATCTTTTTCATTTTTCTTTTTAATTTTTACATCTAAACCAACTTTATACTAAGTCTTATAAATGTGTGCATTGACACAAAATTTGTAAAAAGATCTTAAAAACAGTGTGATGTTGTAAGACTTGCTCAAAGTGGTCGTATAAGATCTTATGAGAGGATCTTATGTCATCTATAATGTAAATGTTCATATGCAATTTTATTTTTAAAATTTTTTTATTAGTTTTGTTGCACTGCAAAGGTCGTATACAATATGTAAGACTAGATTTTGATACTTCATGTCTTTTGAATTTCATTGTAATATATGTATAGGGTAAATATTGTTTGTGTCTTCGTATTTTAGTATAGTTCTATTGTTAATAAAAAGGAAAAAAAATGTATACAAGATTGAAAAGAATAAATATTTAAACGTAGTAAGGTATAAAAAAATATTTTTTATGATATAGTATTAAATTGAAAACAAAATACAAATACATGTATTAATAAATACGATAAAATCACAAAATTAAATTAAACTAAGTTGCGCATTTGATTTGGTTTTGTTTTTTTTTCTTTTTCATGTTTGAATTGAACCACGTATAATTTTCATGTTAGATTCAATTATACTTTTAATAAAAAAAATCAAACCAATCTACATAACAAATCTAAAGATTATAACATTTTTAATTGATATTCTGGCATTGATAGCAGATTTAAACATTAAGCTGACCTTTATTTTATACATGATTTATTAAGATGTTTTGGATCATTAAGAAATCTAGGTTGAGGGGTGTTTGGAGTATATGTTTGTAGTAAGTTAGTAGTATTTAATATTATGATTAATATTGATTACTTTCAATAGTGATAATATGTAGGTGGTTGTCATTGAATGTTTTTTTAATATATATATATATTAAGACAATATGTTACTGTGATGAGAATTAATGGTTGAGGATCAAAGAATAATGTGATTGTATATTATGGGTGATTAGTTTAACTATATGAGAATTAGGATAAAAATATTGGATAATTATGTTATATAATTTGGAAATGAATGGTAAATTTTGGAAAAAGGATTTCAATGTGATAATTATATAAATTGTTCGGTGTGTAAGGAAAATTTTAAATAACTAAAATCACATTTAAAATTTTTATAATATTTTATAAAATTATGTCATTCAATTAAATTTAATTAAAAACGACTTAACAGAACACTTTTTTCCCTTCACCAACATAAATGACATCATTTATCTGGGGAAAAGAAAAATAACATCTTAAAAAAATTATAAACCAAAGTAAACAACGACCACAAGATTAATAAGCATATTCTAACATTATTTGTATCTATTAATCAGTGTACATATAATGAAATTATCAGTTTCTATTTTGTACTTCAAATACGATAACACTTTTAATTATAAAGCGAAAAAGTTTTCTCTTAGTTTTCATTTCTACATTACTCTTTCATTTTAATTTATTTTACAAAAAATATGATAAAAATATCAATAACTTGAAACATTTCTTGCAATAATTTTTTCTAACAATCGAATATTATTCCTGTCAATTGCTTTAAATTAAGATTTTTCTACTAAAAAGCAATATTTTATTTATGTAGAAGAGAAAGACATTATATGTTACAATTTAAATTTTTTTGAAAATCTTATTATAATATTTTGTATTTATTACGTATTAAATAAATTACAAATTATTTAGAAAAAGAAAAAGAAAATAAAAATAGAAAATAGAAAACCCCTAGGCTTCGCTAGAAAAGAAAAAATCTAACCGCAAAACCCCACTCCCCAAAGTTACTCTGAAAGAACGCATCTTCAGTCTTTCTTTCTTCTTCCCCCCACACCCTATTTTTTCAAATCTAGGGTTTCCTCTGCATTTAGGGTTTCTTGCTCAGCAATCTCAAATGGCGGCAATCGCAGCTCCCCAATACCGATCTTCCAAGACGGAGTCCTACGTCGACAACAAGCGCAAGGAAGACATTCGCCACGCCAACATCGTGGCCGCTCGTTCCGTCGCCAACGCTGTGCGCACCAGTCTCGGCCCCAAGGGTATGGACAAGATGATCTCCACCTCGTCAGACGAGGTTATCATTACCAACGACGGCGCCACCATCCTCAACAAGATGCAGGTCATCCAGCCCGCAGCCAAGATGCTCGTCGAGCTCTCCAAGTCGCAGGACTCCGCTGCCGGCGACGGCACTACCACGGTCGTTGTTATCGCCGGCGCCCTGCTCGAGCAGTGCCTCCTTCTACTCTCCCACGGCATTCACCCCACCGTCGTCTCCGACTCCCTCCACAAGGCCGCCGTAAAGGCAGTGGATGTCCTCACCGCCATGGCTGTCCCCGTGGAGCTCTCAGACCGCGACTCGCTCGTGAAGTCCGCCAGCACCTCTCTCAACAGCAAGGTCGTGAGCCAGTACTCCACGCTTCTCGCGCCCCTCGCCGTCGACGCTGTTCTCTCCGTCGTTGATGCCGCCAAGCCCGACATGGTTGACCTCCGCGATGTCAAGATCGTGAAAAAGCTTGGCGGCACCGTGGACGACACGGAGCTTGTGAAAGGGCTCGTCTTCGACAAGAAGGTTAGCCACGCGGCGGGGGGACCCACCCGCATGGAGAACGCCAAGATCGCCGTCATCCAGTTCCAGATATCGCCACCGAAAACCGACATCGAACAGAGCATCGTGGTGAGTGATTACTCTCAGATGGATAGGATTTTGAAGGAGGAGCGTAGTTATATCCTTGGCATGATTAAGAAGATCAAGGCCACTGGTTGTAATGTGTTGTTGATTCAGAAGAGTATTTTGAGGGATGCTGTTACTGATTTGTCATTGCACTACCTTGCAAAAGCTAAGATTTTAGTGATTAAGGACGTGGAGAGGGATGAAATTGAGTTTATTACCAAGACCTTGAATTGCTTGCCCATTGCTAACATTGAACATTTCCGCGCTGAGAAGTTGGGTTATGCCGATCTTGTGGAAGAGGTTTCTCTTGGGGACGGGAAGATTGTGAAGATTAATGGTATTAAGGAGATGGGGAAGACCACTACGGTGCTCGTTCGTGGGTCTAATCAACTTGTGCTTGATGAGGCGGAGCGGAGTTTGCACGATGCTTTGTGTGTTGTTAGATGTTTGGTTGCCAAGAGGTTTCTAATTGCTGGCGGTGGGGCGCCAGAGATCGAGCTTTCGAGGCAGTTGGGTGCCTGGGCTAAGGTGTTGCATGGAATGGAGGGTTACTGTGTGAGGGCATTTGCTGAGGCACTGGAAGTTATTCCCTATACTCTTGCAGAAAATGCTGGTTTGAACCCCATTGCCATTGTTACTGAGCTGAGGAATCGCCATGCGCAAGGTGAGATAAATGCTGGAATCAATGTGAGGAAGGGTCAGATCACCAATATCTTGGAGGAGAATGTGGTGCAACCCCTGCTTGTGAGCACAAGTGCGATTACCTTGGCAACTGAGTGTGTGCGGATGATTTTGAAGATTGATGATATTGTAACTGTGCGGTAGAGTTGATTGAACAATGAGACATTTGGTTGGAGAGAAACAGATTCATCCATTATCTATTTTGTCTTTCGTGCTTCTATTTTATGTTGTTAGTTTATGTTCTTTCTAGTGACTTTTGGTTAAGGTGTTTTGACTTACATTAGTTGCTGCTGTTGTTTTACAATTTTGAATGTCCTTATGGATGCTTGCTCGAGTTATCCGATTCAGAAGCCTTTCTTAATGTGTGTGGGAGTTTAGTTGATAATTTTTGTCTGAATGTCAGTTTCGATTGTGTTCGTGCTTCTTTCCTTACCTTAGCCATACTTGTATATCTTGCGTCTGTATGTGGCTTTGAGAGATTGTTTGCTTATAGAAATACATCGTTTTAATATCTTGTAATTTTGTGGAATACGTATACTTAGGCTATTATAGAAAGTATCCCAGAACTTGTCATTTTTCTTGAATTCATGAAATATCATTGTTATATTTGAAATTATAATTATCTGATGACGCGTTGGAATCTGAATGTCTATGACTTGGAGAATCCATTAGTTGCTTAGTTATCTCCAAGTGATTTTGATTTTTTGCTGTTAATCTCACTGGAAATATTGTATTTAGTATGTAAATTGAGATATACCTGCTACTGTTTCATGTTATGCATATGGCCTGTTGCTACCAAATAGATTTGTGTCTTTAACGTGGATTTATTTTTTAGTGTCGCACGTGGCCTGTTGGCTTTTATTCTCTTGAACCTTCTAGTCTAAAACTGTATTTAAATGAAATACGAGGAAAATCACTTATCCCATACGCAAGAGGCAAACCATCAGCAATGTATCAATGGTTGTGCTGACATTTCTCGCAGTAAGTGTAGAACGTGATAGTTTTATGAATTTCAAGAGCTGTATCAGCTTCTCTATTATTTGATCCCTTCTGCTTTACGGAACTTTTTTTTTTCTTTGCTTACGTCGCATGAGATTAGGCTGGGATAAAGCAACATATACAATTTTTTTTAAAAATGAGAAATTGTATTAGTAAATACATGGTTTACAATTTATAGTTCATCGATAGTAATTAATTGTTAAATATATAAATATATGATATATCAAATTATGAAATGATATAATTAAATAGAAAATTGTGTTCTATAAGATAACAATTCGTTTAGGAACTATGTTTTTATGTCTTGAAAATTCTTTTTTTATTAAATACTAATAGAAGAGTTAAACATTCTGTTAAAGGTAAAAAGATACCAATTCAAACCAATCTTCTGGAATCGTTATGTATCAGTATTGTTATGATTTGGTATTTTCCATTGATGGTTAACAAATTGTGTGCATAACTCCACAAATTCAGAATGGTTTGGCATCTTTCGTTGATGGTTTACGACTGGCTACATAACTCCAGAGTTTTAGATTGTTTTTGCATAATTCATTGATGGTTAACAAATGTTTTGTCATATGTCAGCAAGAATCAGGGCTGCCATGGCGGAAAATATGAAGGTTTGGAAAACTGCAACAAATTCAGAGCAACCTTTTTTAATACATCATGTTTGGACAGAATGACAACGCTGGAAAACCCAAATCCCTGGAAAATGGGTCATAGAAGAATGAATGAATTGAATTGACTTTATAATTGCATACAGGCAAATAACTTATCTTACAGCTACCTTAAAGTTCAAGATTGAAAAAAAAAATGTTCTCATTGAAAGTTGACGATGAAAGTGATAGCAACATCTTTTGACCTTAACCTTTGGCCTTGAGCCTGATAAGTTTGTGTTTGTATACCAAACCTTCATATCTTCATTAAATCGGCGAATTAAATTACGAGTGTCAAGTGACCCTATGAGCTTCGCGGTGTTAAAAAATTGAGCTCACAGAAAACAATCCTGTAAAGCTTTGACACCTAAAACCCTTGCATTGACTAAAGCATACAATTTGAAGTTGGCGATGACGCAGAAGATGAGACCGGATACCCTTCAACAAAACATTTCAGTTTTTCTATTTCACCAACCGCATCAAACCATTCAGTAAGAATCTCCATGGTTATATAATCAGGACTGCATGCGTCTTCAATCATTCTGTCCATAAGTTCAAATGCTTTTTGCAACATTTTCTTATCCCGAACTCCCTTGAAAATAGCATTATAAGTTGTTGTATTGGGTCGAACTCCCTTTATTTTCATGTCATCCATCAAAGAAACAGCCCTTTCTACATTTCTATTCTTGCACAGAGCATCTATTAAGATATTGTAAATCACAGTGTTCGGAGGAATCTTAGATTTGGAACACATTTCCTCAAATGTTTTCATAGCCTCATCAACATTCTCCTTTAAACAATATGCATGTATAATTGCTCCATACGTCACAACAGAAGGCTCAAGACCCTCTTTGATCATCCTTTTCATCACCTTACTGGCAGTTGCAAAATCTCCAATTTTACCAAGGTAGGAAATCAAAGTGTTATAGGTTACAACATCAGGCTTAACCCCAGTTTCTTCCATTTCATTAAGCATTTCATAAACTCTTTCCAGCTTCTTCTTCTTACAGAATCCACTGATGAGGACATTATAGCAGCGTACGTCAAGACCATACCCAGCCTGCTTCAACCTTGACACAACTACACTGGCATCATCCATCCTTCCAGCGATGCTTAAACCATTTATTAAACTATAGTAAACAATTGCATCTGGAGAGCACCCAGAACTCAACATTTCATCGAAATATTGCATGGCTTTATCAATATTATTCACACCACAGAAGGCAGATATCAGCGCAGTATAAGTACCAGCGTTTCCCTGCAACCCCTTTCCTTTCATCTCATTGAAAAACACAACTGCGTCGTGGACCTTTCCATGTTTGCACAAACCATTAACCAATGTATTGAGGGTGACCACACTTGGTTGAACTCCTTCCTCAATCATCTGACTGTATAACCTGCGAGCCTTACCAATGTTACCAGCTTTACAGAACCCGTCAATCAAACAATTATATGTAATTGCATTTGGCCTACTTTGCTTCGTTGTTTTCATCTTTTCCAACAAACTCAAACCATGCTCCTCTCTACCAACTTTACAAAGTCCATCAATCAAAGTATTAAACAAGACCACATCAGGCTCAACATCAAACCTATCATTACCTTCTCCTTTGCCGCTCAACTTATCAAATACCTCCAGTGCCTCATCAATCCTCCTAGCTTTGCACAAATGATTAACAAGAATCCCAAAGGTCACAACACTGGGCTTTATCCCCATCTCTTCCATTTCTGCCATCAGTTTATTCATCTGCTGAATGTCCCTCTCCCTTCCCAACCCAGTTAACAGAGCATTGCAAGACGCAGCTTTAACCGCAACTGCACCACCCAATCTCATCACAACATGCAAAAGATCCCACGCCACACCATTCTTCCGGTGCCGGCACATCTTCGTTATTATTTGGGTAAGCTTAAACGCATCAGGGAAAACTCCATGCTCACACAGCTTGGTAACCAACCCCACAATTTCATTATCAGCAAAGCTTCTTCCATGGCGCTCCTGCTTCCCCAACACCCCAAAAACAACTTCCCCCGTGAAATCTTCGGGAGGAAAATCAGAATCCCGTTCAAGCATTTCGTCAATCACCTGGAGGGCATCATCAATGCAACCCGATTTAAACAACCCCTTAAGCAATTCGTTGCAAATTCCGGAACTTTTGGAACAGGGGTCGAGCTCCTTGAACAGAAGAAGCGAATCGTCCACCATTTGGGCCTCCCCTAGGCACTTCAAAAGGAGGAAAGCAGATCTGGAAGTGAGAGCAATGTTATCACCATTGGATTTTCGGTAACTATGAAGCATGAGAAGCTCTTTCTGCGAATTAGGGTGCTGCGTAGCGAGTTCAAGAGCTCCTTCGAACACACAAGAGAGGGCTTGGTGGTGCTCTGTTCTGCTTCTGAGGTAATTGATAAAATCGAGGGCTTTGGGAATGGAGTTTAAGCGGAGAGTGACAAGGAGGAGATGGTCTGAAGCTTCAAAGATAAAGGGACGAAGTTTATCGTAGTCCCAATGATTGGCCGGGTTTTGAAGATGTTCCACAAGTTGGGTCACCGTCAATTCCTGGTCTTTTCGCGAAGGAGAGGGTGAATCGCTGTGGCATCGCCGCAGAGACTAAAACTTGGACGGAAGCAGCCGGTGGATGCGGCGGAGACGGAGGAGCTTTGATTGCACCAACATTGTTTGGAAATATTACGGCGCCGGCGGCGGAACGCGGAGGAGTCTAGTTTATCTGCTTCCAATCATGGATGACAGCAGACACAGTTAACAAAAGTAAATAACAATTTAGAATATATAATTATCATTTAGCGTCTATTTATTTTAGTTTTAATTAAAAACAATCAATTTCTTTGGTTCTTAATTTTTATAAAAACTTTCAATTTTTTCCTTTTAGAAAAAACTAAAAATTCTTTATTTAAATTTTAAAAAATAAATTTAGAAAAGACAGTTAAATTTTAAAAAGTCACTTGAAAGATAAAATTGAAGAAAAAAAATATAAACACCAAAAAATAATATTATTTATATAATTATATAAATAATAATTTGTTTTTTATTAATATATATTTGAGATTATTTTTTTATTTTTGTTTTACAAGAGATAAATATTAAGTCAAAAAATTGAAAATACTTAATATTTTGTTTTCTAATAGGATTGACGATGAATTGATGATGAACACAAATCACTGAGGTTATAAGTTATTATTAGTGTTGTTGATTTAAAATTATTAACTATTAGATGAGAAAGATGCTGCATGTTGTGAATATTTAATTTTTAATTTTAATTTTGATTGTATTTATATACTATAATATCTTTATATACATACTTGTATTTCTCAGTTTCACTTCCAAAATGATGGACACATACTTATTATTGACATTCAAGACAAAACATGTTATATATATAATGTTCAAAAACTTGTTAAATTTTATTGTTGTTTTTAAAGGACTTTGGAGTAATATATTCAATATGTTTTATATTGGATGAATAATTTATGGATATGCATAAATAAGTAGTTTATTTAATTTGATGGACTCTAAGTTTATTTACTTTTTAGGTAATTATATAGTTAACTATATAATTCTTAAATATGTAAATATTTTAATATGGTTAAATGAAGAAGAAATATATGTCATTTATAATAATAATAACAATAACAGTATAAACAGTAACAGATTTAATCAATTTTTGGAATTGTGTTTCATCTCCATTTTTGCCTTCTTTTCTGATTTTAAATTTGAAATTGTAAATTGAAAGCAAATATTTTCCATGGGTGTGAATTT